TATCACAATAATGTCGAATATACCTCGATCATCTCTTTTATCCCATCTATGCCTTTTATAAATAAATTTTGAAATGAATTCAAAATAAAGCTGAAAGCCAGAATAATCTGATAAGAATCACATCAGAAACACATTCCATACAAATGACGTGCTTCTTGCGTTTGGAATCAGCAATCGAAGATCAAAAGAACTGCGCAAAGAAAAAAGTTTCAAAGTCGACAGGCTTTATGAGTCCTTTCTGATTGCAAATCATAGCCTTATCTTGATTACATCACTTCAAGGGGCTGACAAAGAAAGGGTAATTAGAAGCGTATCATGGGAGAAGAAAGAAAAAGCGAGACAGAACAAGAAAAAGGAAAATAAGACACAAAGTGAAAAAGCGACAGAGAGATACTGAGAGAATGAAATATAATATGTAAGGATAAAGCTAACGAAAGAGAGACATACACATATTACAGAAAAGAGATAGAAGTACAGACAGAGAGAGAAAGAACTCACCCAAAGACAAAGAGAGAGAGAGAGAGAAAGGAACACATATGTATGTAAAAGAAGAGGCTGGACTGGACCTTACTCTCTGAATTACTGGCTTTAGATATAATCTAACACATCGCTGAATAAGTCAGGAAGTAAGCATACACTTAGACGTTGCCTGACAATATTGTTAACTAATTTCGGAGTAATACGAAATTGAAATCGGACGTCAACAGGCCGAATACGTCACGTGCAACTGACGAAAAGCGCCAGAGAGCGGCGTAATGATATCAGTTAAGGGTACAAATCAAAGTGAGGTGGTGTACGGCCAAATTGATCCGATTACACAAGCTCGATTTATAAATAAAGTAAAGCCAAAAAGCGATGTTGTATATATATATAATATATATGCGAGATTATAAAAATAACCAAACAATCAACAATATATCGAATAATTCGACCCACAGAACGTCACAATGCCAAATATTGCATTTTGGGCGTGGAACGCAGCAGCAGAGGCAACTGCTGTAAGGCAGAAAGAGAAGAGTATATAGAGGCATGCATACCCACACATGCGTGTGTGTGTGTGTGCAGACATTGAGGCGTCAGAGATGCGCACACACTTAACACAGTTTAAAAGCGCAATCGAACAGATTTGGACTTCCAGTTCTCAGCTGCGAGTATTTTTAAGTGCTCGCATAACGAAATTAGCCAAACGAGGCAGACGGTCAAAGTCAAAGAAACAAACAGAAGAAGAAGAAGGTGGCTGACCGTTAGGATGCGGAAAAGGGGCAACAACAATGCGCACACAACAACAACTTGCGTCGCACAATCGATCGTTTGCCAAACGCAATGAACAAAGAATCCGAAGGGAGGGTAGAACGAGGAGAGAGCAAGAGCAGAGAGAGCGCAACGAGCGAGGAGTGAGGAGTGTGGAGTGTGGAGTGTGTGCGGGAGCGCGCGCACGCTGCAAAAGCTGCGCTGAGTGGTAATAAAATATTTGACAGTCGCACAAAAAATGTTAATAAGCAATAAATAACAAAAATATCTCTGTGTCTGTGCGTATGTATGTATGTATGTGTGCGTATTTGTGTGTTTACTGCAAACAGCAAACAAAACAATGCAACGCATTTATGAACAAAGTCTGTTAGGTGTGCACACAAGCGCACACTCATGCACACTTATACATACATATGGATATACATATACAGAATGAATAAATAAATATATGAGCACATACTATACATTTGTTTATTTCTGACCTTAAGACGCATTTTAAAAGTTAACTTTGATTTTTAGCAGTTATGCGGCGCCGTTAACAGGTCGCTGTTAATGCTGCACGCGCCTGTTAACATTTGCACGCGTCTGTTAACGAGGCAGGCAGTGCGAGTTCTTGCGAACGTCGCGTGCGCGATCGTGCGTGAGTTTTTTTTCGCTCACCATACAAAAAAAAAACACAATCCACCTTTTGGCAACAACAATTTGCGCAATGTTTATTCATTTAATTATAGGCCAAGCAACGTGTCGAATTGCTTGTGCCAATAGATTGTTTAATCAAAAACTTGTACAGAAATTCAGCTAAAGAAAGTCTTAACGGGTTTATATACACATGTACATATGTATGTACATATATACTATACATATGTATGTATGTTTGAATGGGTCTCTTTTATTAAGGTTATGTTGTTTATAATTCGAATATCCTTTGACGTTAAGCATCTACATATATACGAATATTGTATCTAAGTTATGGATATGCATATATGTGTATGTATTCCCATTTCCAGATTCCACTTGAAGTCGAATATCATTTCAACTAGACAATGCATTGCTTTACTAACGCAAAATATATGCATATAGTAACCAAAAATCTATATACATACATATTTATACATATGTATGTATTTAGAGATATGTATCTATTAATAGATACAAGACGTCAGCCCATAAATATGTATGAATGCATTTGTCATATTCAAGTATTTCGTTCAGCGAATTCGAAATGGGTCAAATAAATTGCGAGCAACAGCATAAGTATGCAAAGAACGCATAAATACAAATATACAAAGTGCACACATATACACGCAGGCGCATGCATGTGTGTGAGAGAGTGTGCTGTGTGCATGTACATTTGTATTATAGACAGCATGGCGACATCGTTAGCGCCATCAGCTGCGCGTTTGGTAGATTGATAACATAATGTAAACACAAGCAGCTGTTAACATATGTTACACGTGCCGAAAGTGCAGCTATTATTTGGGAACTGCTCGGCCAGCTTAGCTTAGCTCAGTCCAGCTCAGGTTTGCTCCTCCACTTACCTTTCCGTTGTGGGCTCGGCACAGATGAGCGCATGCTTCAGCTCAATGGCCTGGCCATTCTTCTCCTTCAGCTCCCCATTCTCACTGTAGTATTGTACCAGCTCCGGCAATGTGGCGAACTTTTCACCTGTAACAGGTAGCGCATAGGTTTTAGTGTTTAGTATTCATTACATTTTTCTCTAGTTAACTTTCTTCTTGTTGTTGTCCACTTACCGCCATAAAGATCAAAGAAATCACCATTATTTTGGATTTTAATGTGTGTTACCTCGTTGCCGCGACGCACGGAAAGTGTAAAGGCGCCCGGATTCGAGGATGATAGACGCGCTAGGTATGAACCGTCGTAACCTTGTTCCTGTAATAGTTTTTCAGCTTCTAAGCCCGATATTGTTGGGTGGAACCATCTGAAATAGAGGTCAAATTATAGCAATACAATATAACAATAATAAAAATATCATAGGTTAGAGTTGAGTCGCTTATTCGTGACACGAAAATAAATMAAGTGATGCTCGGTTGCGTGAGTCGCGCGATCGTAACGTGGGCACGTGAGCACATCTCTAACATGGTACAATATACATAAGGTTGGCCGCAACTACAGCAAAACGCCTCTGACCCAGCCACCTGCCATGCCATGCCCCTGCCTCGCCCTCTTGCTGCGCTGATGCTCCGTGACAGTAGCAGCAGCAGCGGCAATAGCAACCAGCAGCACTGAAAGCAGCAGAAGCAACAGCAGCAACAGAGACACAGGCAGAGGCAGCGCAGCAGCAGCAGCAGAGGTGGCAGACAGCAACAGCTGTAGCTGTAGCCAGGCGATACTTTTTGCAAATTGTGTGCCGGTGCAGGCGAGGAGGGGCGATGTTTGTGGGGGGGCGAGGAGTACAATTTACTTTCAGCACTTTGTTGCACTTTTTATCTGAATGTTGTTTCGTTTTTTTTTTTGTGCTCACTGCTTTGGTTTTTTTTATTTTTTTGTATATACTTATACATACATATGTAAATAGACCCAGAGTGTATCTATGTGCATGTGTGTGTGCGTGTGCGGGATTGCATGTGTATGTGCGTGTGTGTGTATATATGTGTACATGGCCCATATGTGTGTGGCAATGTACGTGTATGTGTGAATGTGGATGTGTATGTTCGTGCTTGCATGTGTTTGTACGTGTGTGTACATTGTCTTTTTCCTATTGGATTTACCTTCGCGATGACATTTTCTTATTAAACGCGCACTTAAAAAATAAATAAATTTTACACTTAACGAAAAAAAAAATTAAACTTATGTGTGTATGCTTCTGATTAAACTTATTTTTACTGTTTGGATACAAAAAAAAAACTATGGATAGGCAAGGCTATTTATCGTAGTGATGGGAGCTATCGAGCACGACTGCTATCGATGCCAATCAGCCAACCATCGGTGTTGCTGTAGGTCGCAGCTAGTGTGTACACACTGGCCAACCATAATGCGCGATTGTTTAAATAACTTGTTCATAAATGCACAAATAAACTGTACAGAAGTACATTTTAATTAATTTTAATTAAAATCAACTCAATTAGTGCTTTCTGCTATATTTTTCCTATGTTACGTTGGTTATGTCCATGGCAATATTTGCTAGTGTCAATATTCAAATTGTGGCAGCAAGTCGATAACTATTGTAACTGCCATTGGGACTGTGCACTGGTTGGACAACATTGATACACAATGTGCTCGTTTCGCTGACTCTAATTGGAAATTGAGACAAGAGTTTTGGGTTGGCTTTTGTATTTTTGTTTTTTATTTAAGCAATTTAAAAGTTACCTTTTGTATATAGAGCATTACATTGCATGTAGACATATACATATCGATTTATATATGTTTACTTTGTTAGTTTTTTTTTTTTTTTTGCATTTATATCTTTTTTTTTTTACTAATTTATCAAATAAATATCTGCATATTTTTAACTTTTCAATTAAATTTACAAATACATTTGCACGACACGCATTTTTATTTTGCCCTATTTAGCCTTTTTATGCATAATTTCTTGAGACCTTAAAAAAAGTTTAGCGTTTTTAA